TTTAACTGGTGACTACTCAGGTTCATGTAGTGACTAAGTTGCGGAAATTAGCATCATACGGGATTGGAGCTGCTCGAAACCTGGTAGGCTTTTATTGGGTTACGACTTGGACGCCAATAATAGCGTCTGCACAATCTTATGCTCCTCAAGCCTAAGTTGATATGAAAGCGAACAATTCTTTAACGTGCTTGACGGCCATTCGCTGCAGTGTTTTGAGCATCGCGTGATCTTGCTTTTATCCTAGCTTCCACGCCTGGATCATCAATTTTACATGAGGCCGCACTCAAATGTAAAGCAGCTGCAGGCAGACAGATGGATCAGATTGTCTGAATACTCTAGCAGAAGACCAAAATGTTAATTTCCGGTATTTGGTACCTTTCCATGTTGTTTTGAGCTACCGAGTTCAGCCTGTTAAGAAGCCAAGCTTACCCTCCTGAGTGCTCGTTGCAAGACGTGGTCTCCAAGATTTTACATGCTGTTCAGCTGATGATGAATACGGATCCCCTTACACTTGAACGAATGCAACTGGAGAAGATTGTGAAATGTCAGAGTCCCGTTGAAATGCAACGTGATGTCCTTAATCAACGATCCTCCGACATAACTAAACGTTATCAGCAAAAAGCAAGAAATCCGAGGCGAACATACACGTAAGTTCATTTCCGAATAAGAAAAACGCACGCAATTTAGCACTGATACTTGTGGGACTCCAAATTCGACACGAATAAGATAAGACAGCGCAGTTAGAACACTAACCTGCAGTTGCAGGGGCTGCTAGAAATTCTTAAACCATCCATGGACAGTGTCCCAAATCAGTTGCTATCCAGCCTGTGAAGCAGAATGCAGTGGTTCAAGCGCTAAAGTTTTGGGGAAGTCGAGGTAAATAACATGCGTCCCTATACTTTGTCGAACACTTCCGTGAAACTGCTGCGGTCAAACAGTAGGCTGACTGTGCGTGGTCAGCGCTGATGGAAATCGTGCTGCTTCTGTGCAATGATGTTGAAGCATTCCAGATGGTCGATAATGCATCAGCGGCGTTTGCCTCCTTCACACTTTGGGGTACAGGGAGGAGGACCACTGGGCGATAATTCACGGGTGCCGAACGCTTGCCACATTCATAAATTGACATGGTTAGACCATCTTTCCATATGTTTGGCATCGAGTTTTATCCAATCAATATTGGAAGAAATGCGACAATGTCTTAGAAAGCATTGTTGTTACAGTTTCCTTTAGCGCCTTCAGATGAATACCATCGATTCCAGAGGAATTATAGTTACGCAGTGAGAACGGTCCACTTAATACATTTGTGGGGTAAACGTCACATAAGTGTGTGTTGAAACTGTGTCGATTACTGTGGGTATTTAATACAGGGAGATAAAAATATGTATTCAACGTGCACGTACGCTTTATGCCAAGGGCAGTCATAAGCGGAATTCACCTCTGGTGTGGACAATTGGGAGAACTAAACGGCTGTCACCTAGCACTTGCTGTCGCAACTGAGACGCAAACAGCACCATGACAAATCGCTGCTGTACGTCTCCGTATTAATCTATAGTTCGCATTGCAATTGGTTTAGGATGATGCCGAACTACGTCACTTCTTATAATGATCAGCTGACTGAAACCCTTATAAATATCTCACTTCCGGAGAGACAGCAGGGATGCACCACGACGATGCTGCGAAGAGCAGAATTGCTAAACCATCAGTTGGAGCGTACACGTATGTGTTCAGCTGCAATACAGTGATCCAAGTCAATTGGTAACAGTGTAGGTAGAAAATCGGGGACGCTACAGCGAGAGAAACGTAGTAGAAGTTTAATCCTCTGGCTCATCGTGCATTCTTTCCATAACAACTTGTAAAGTGAACAGAAACAAGTATTCAATACGACGACTAGTATAAATGAACTAGCACGGTTCCGTTGCGTTAGAAGCATCCCGTCAAAAATGTGCGGAAACCATCGGTTCCGTGCAGACCACTGGGTAACCTTCCAAGATGTGCTTCGCCGCTGTTCGTCCGGTTCACGGAATATACGAAAAAAAGCGAGCATGAATAGGGGCCATTCGAGAGACGGGCCTTCAAATGCAGGACTACTTGATCAACGGAGTTAACTACATCTCTAATAGAACTCAGTTCCTCTCAATGTCTTCAGTTTTGGTGGTGAGTGAAGCACTATGTTGAAAAGCTCCACCGTGAAACCTAGGATGCTACAAATGAATCTGTGACGATCATGTCATTAAGTTAGGTTTCCCTTAATGACTTTGACAACGATTTGGAAAACTTGGTGTGGTGTACTGTTGCTACAGCGTATGAGATCTAAATGAGGCTGTTGCAGCATGGACCGTTGCCTACTGCCCATATGTTCCAGATGCAACCGACGGTGCCTGTGCACATTGAAATTCGCCACATGTATTTAAGTTTAGATTTGGTATGAAAAACTGAATACTCAATATTCCAGGTGTCTTCGGCAGTTGTTATGGCTCAACTACCAGTGGTGTCAAAGTAAGTCGAAAGTTTCGATGCAACTTGTAGTCTGAGCAAAGCCATGGTCTTAGTTATTCTGATCGGAATGGGCGTTGGCTTAGGCGTATCTGTGTCACTTTGGGTATTGACAAATTCACTGACTTTCTGAGCTACTTCGCCTTTTTTGACTTTGTGCCTAACTTTTGTCGCCAGGCTGGGAATGGGGACCCAAAACCTAGACTCAGCAATTCCTTCTTCCAATGAAGCGATTTTGGCATATGCAGTTAGCCTAATCGTTGTCAATAGTCTTTTGTACCTCCGAGCCAACTTAAGCACGATCCTAACCACGGGATGGCCATATGTACTGTGTAAATGCGTAGGGAATCTAGTTTGCTATTTTGCAGCCCCACTTCAGCTAGTGACGGTTCAGTACATTTGCGATAGGAATGCTTTAAACAGTTGGAGCACAGGACCTACATTCTGACCCGGTTGAGCGGTATTCTGAAACACATGCATTCTAATACACGGCCTCTTTTCATCGATCGCTGTAAACCATCCTGTCGCCACATACTTAGGCTCTAATACTCTTGGAATCTCTAATCTAGGATAAGATGTTTGTCTTTGGCTCTTGAGCAGCGTGCCTTATCGGCGGTATCTCCCCACTCCCCGCAAGCTGATTACGGTTTTCTGAGGTCGGCTAATCCGCAGCCCAATAAAGTTCAACATCAGGTCGCGCGAGTACAGCAACGGTGATGCGGCTTTATTGACCTCACAAAAGCCACCGTTTGTGTACCATCAAGTCGAACGACGACGTCTGCTTTACTTGAAGGTCTACGGGCATGTTTATGGACTCAATTGATAGCTGCCTGATGTTAAGCGTCGTTGATTTGTGCTCTCCGGTTTCTATAGCAAGAGTGCAATACTGCAACTTGTTTCTGTATATGTGGGGTTCAAAGCACTGAGTGAACTAACCAGCGGCCGTTCGAACAATCATAACCAAACGCGTGCATGCTGAGAGTTAAGGAAGTAAAGCTGGGCGAACTGCGACAGCAGAGGTAATTCAACCACCGCGATGGTAATCTGTTTGGAGTTGGACTTTTACTTGTTACATTCCCAGCTGCATTTCGCAGAACCTTTAGCTTCGGCAACACTATTTTGGTATTTGATATTTCATAAGTGAAGGAAACCGCAGTGTCCTTGCGGTCATAAATGAGTTGTAATTAGAAGGGCAAGGAACTCTCACTGCATAAAACTCCTCCAAGGTAGCTCTTCATCCGCCTACCAATAATAACAGGCGATGTACAGTTATATATGAACAGTAATGGTTGTTTCCAGGTATGACACTACTGAGCGTTGTGTGTGATTCTGTAACGCGCCAGAGGTCCCAAACCGTCAGGGTGAACCACTCCTGAGAGCACCACTTCGGGTTGCGTAAACGGATGGCGATGGTTTTACTTATTTTAAACATCCACTTGCTGACGTAAATATACGAGTTTCAAGGAGCTGATGGATAAAGTTGAACGACACAGCCGGCCAGTTGCAGTAACTTTGGTCCTCGTGGACGGAGTGAGCTGGTAACTTCGCGATATCCATTCATAAGTCAGCTCAAATGGCGTTCTGTCATCCCGTCTGGAGGTTACTTTCACGCACAACCAAAATATCCGTCTGCATAAGATCAGGATAACAACTAAACATACATCGATATTGGGGGATGGGTCTCACCTATTTAGGGTTCCGCCTTATAATCGGACTAGAGGTGTACTAGATTTGCATTAAAGTTACTGGGGAAGTGCATCCAACTGAGTGTAGAGGACATTGAGTTAGAATGTCTGCAGCAAAAATTGCCGCCTCAAAGTAGCTATGGAAAGGTTGGTTTTCTTTCATCTAGCAAGGTGGTTGGAGCCCTTTTCTTTTGTTGCTTGTTGACCTTGATCGTATGCGGTGCACTGCCCCGAGAAAAATGTCACCTAAGCAAATAGTTCCGTTTCCTTCACCAGACGGAATACCAGATTCAAACTGATTCAAGTGGCACAGATTCTAAAGTGGTCTGTATGTACCAAAAGCGCTTGACTGTTTGAATATAGCTATAACCTAACATGGCTGCGAAGTGGAAAAACCAGCACTCTGGCGATCATCTCCGATGCCCGCATAGAACACTGTATGTTGCGGCAGCGCTCTTCTAAGCATTTAGTACAGCTACTGTGGTGAAGAACTTTAAAAGCCTTCTCCAGCTCTCTCAATCACCAGTTATTTGTTAACTGATCTTACTTCAACTCACACCCATGTTCCAACTGGCTAGTTTCATAAGGTGATGTTGCCATGTTACTCTCTACACTGGTAATAGGAACTGTCCTCGCTTTTGATTCGTTGTGTATCACCCACCTACCTAGCTGTCGTTGGACGAATACATGCGCTTGCTGATGATTGGCTTGGGTGAATAGTTTGATTTTTACAACCGCTGTTACTTGTTCACAGTGTCCATACATCCGTTTACATTACTGAATTACTATTTGGCTTTCAAATCCCAACAGATATAAACTTACCTCATGGTGATCGTGTTTTATGTGTATAGAGTTCTGATTCTAGAGATGGTCAGTGATTGCTCCCCTTTGCTAAATTCCTCGTTCCAGAATTTTCTAGTGCTATAATACTCGTGTTTCGCCGAGCGCCGAGATCCAGCGCATATTAATCGTGAATTCAATCGGTATAGCACTCATTATCAGACCCCGCCGACCAAAAAGAAAACACGTACCTATTTCGGTAAAATGGCTCTAGCCGGGATCCGTTCAAGTAGATTCCAATATTTCCACCGATTTTCTTCGAATACTTGTGAGGAAAAAGGAACCATTAGAGTGATTTCAAAATCCAGATCGCAGTTAGGAAAGGCAACTGAGACATGTAGCCCAATCTACTAGACAAGTTCTGATCTAATGTTGTTGTTTTATACGTCTTTTAAGCCCAGCGAAGATTTCCTGGATGCGTTTACATGGCCGAAGGAACTTCGCAACGTGACGCAAACTGCACCCTCATTGGAAAGGAGTGTCCACGTTCTAATCTTGAATAGTCTGTTGATCAGATTGTTCGGACCCCGAGCAACGTCTCATGCTGCTACTTTTAGCTCTACTAAGCTGCTTATATCGCCTTAGTTTTCAACAGTTAGCAACGTCTAAACATTGGACTTTACTTGTCCTAGGAATTCACGATACCTTTTTGAAGCCTGAAATTTCAAACAAACCAGGCAAAATTGAGTAGTAACTTAAAAATTCCCATTTAAGTCTGGAGAACGAAAGACCATCTGGTGAGCAACTGCTTTCAATGATTCATCATCAGGCCATTACAATTTTTGAAAGCAATTGCTCACCAGATAACTTTTCGTGCTTGAAAATCGAGTGGATCAGATTTTTACCAATCTAATTCTAACCTTAATAGATTATTTGCAAGACGCTGAGGTAGTTTTAATGCACAGACGCTGGGTATACTGGGATATGGCGATAGCCATATACCGATATAGCAATATCATAACGCAATAATAAAGCATGCGTCGCTATCCTTCTGGCAGACATGGTATTTATTCCACTTATCTCAGCGCTTACAATCAACTTTTCTTTCTCCTTCTGTCTGATATACGCCGGCTGCATTACGTCGAGGCAATAAGACTATCTTAGCTACTCCAGTGCCCCATCGAATACGTCCTTGAAGTCGATTTCCTCTAGCCAAGGGAAACATGAATTTAGTCTAATTGTCATCCGTGGATGATATGACACATCAGATCAGAACCCATACAGCAACCGCGCTCATTGATTGGCTTACCTAATAATGAACCAGGCAACTCGTCTTCATTAACCACAAAATTAAGTTTTTCCCTTGTCCCCGAGTGTCACATAGATTTGGTAAATTCATAAGGCGCAGTTTCCACCCCAAACGTGGCTCAGTAAAGAGGGCTCTAGTACCGTCTTACAAAGGCAATGAACATCAATTACGATGACTGAGGGAATCGTCAGATTGATCCTATGGCTTAGACGCCTACTCTACATGCGGGAAAAGCATCCGCTGTCCGTTGGACTGTACCATGGATCAATACTTTTACAACTTGGCTGCTGGCTGCGGTTTCATACTATTCCACTGTAACGAAGCTGTCGAGATCAACGAAGGAGCGCCTCAGTCTCTATATTGGCGAATGGAAGTAGATACCCCATGGAAGGGGTTGCGTTCATTCATCCCCATAATCAAGGTAACCGTCTCAATTAAACAGTAAGTGATTATAGGTAGCACTTAACTGCGAATAGCGTGATCTTAGTGATCTACTGACCTAGTAATCTTATAGCGTCTATTACTACTATGGGTGTGCAAGAAGGCGCTTCAATCAACTGTGAGATACAGATTAAGTTAACAGTATGACGGAACGCATTCCTGCAACTTATTTGCAATCACCGTTGAGAAAAGCGACAAAAACCGGGTGTTTCTTAAATGCTACCGTGGTCAATTACCAAGAAGGGCTTCTTTTATAAAGTACCTCTATCTGGTCAAACAAGTATTAGTGAAGAGGTGAAAGGCGAAGGAATCGCCCCACGACCCGTGACCATCCTCTATAAAGTCATTTATTGTTCGACTCAATCAACTAAATGATGTCCTTGTTTTCTAGCTACGGAATACGACCGAACAAGGATTCAACCCAGTGGCCATTTATGAACAGCTGAATATAGAAACGTACCTGAACCATAGAGTGAATTTCCATCCTCAAGCTGCAAACCGAATGCAAGCACAAAGAAATACGAATCGACAATCATAATGCTTACAAGCTAATGGAGAGATTCCCACCTCTCAGTCCAGACATGTCGGCAAGAATATTCCGGTTGATCTTGTTTAGTCGCAACAACTCTGGGACCCGCCCGTAGCCATCTAAGAAGCTTGAAGCAGTGATGATGACAAGATAATCAGAGGAAACAAAGCGGCGGTCAAGCCTCTGATGTCAATACTTGAAGACGCCATCCAGCATCTAAGATAAAGTTAGTTAATACGAAGACGGACAACTGTATTGATGCGCCCTTCTGCGAGAATGCATTTCGTTGTGGCAAAATTTGTAGGTACTCTGGCAGATACGCGCGAAAGGCAAAAGAGCTGTTGCACTCACCGCATTTGAAGCACTTTTCCACAACGCGTACACCATAGCCGCTTTACCAGAACAACCACAAGCGGTCTCATAGCGAGCTCCACCAGTGAGTACCGTATTGCACCAATTTAATTCGTTAAATATGTATCCTACAAAGAGGAAACCAAAACATATCCAATTTACTTCGCAACCAATTGAGCAAATAACATCAAATGAGCGGCGAAAAGCCATAATTGGCTAAGCATTGAAAAATGTTGGTGTCATGAATTTCGTCCGCTTCGGCTGTTTACTTTTATTTTGTGTGCCAGACTCGTGTAATGGTATTTTTATCGAGCATCGTTAGAAGTGCGCTGACGTCAACATTGCTCCTCCTGGTGTCAGCAATATCTGCCAGACTTTGACTTTTAAATGCTGAATTCCGGTCTCTTATCTATCCGCCGAGTAGGTGGGCTTTTATCTATCGGATGCATTCAAAAATCTAGCCGGAGCATTTGGCGGCCGTGTAAAGCTAATGGGGTACATAGAATTTAGCAAAAAAGCGGCAGCTGAAATCTCAAGAATAATATATGCGTGCAGCAGAACACAGGGTTAAGAAATCTGCAAGGTTCACAGAACAACATTTGTTCACCTTCTATCTCGTAAGACTATCTAGCAATCATGCACTTGTGCGCTCACCATTCCCATATGCATTTGGCGCCCTGCTCGCTGGTGCCGTTCCATTCTTACATCCAATACTACGTTTGCGTCTTCATCATCAGCATAGCAAGCAACCAGTTCTCACTTTACTTCCTAAATTCGTCTCGTCCTAGCACGTACAATTGATGTGTCTATATTAAGGGTTTTTGTCTGGTACCCCACAAAATGCGGGGCTTTTATTTAGAGCGGAACATCCTGACAATTTCATAACCTGTGTTTTTGCATTCGTTAGATACTTACATTGATTCTTTTTAACATGGATACAGAAAATCCAGTTAGCTTTGCTGTTGCTAAAAGATCTTTTTGGTGACTAACTGGCTGTTGCTGTGCATAATGTTGGTCCATACAACTGCATGTTACGCCAGTTCTTTATTAAAGTGTGCGTGCATGAAGTGGACCAATTTTGCAGCCACGTAGTCAACTCCGATTAAATCGAGATTGAGTGAAGCCTTTTCGTGCTAGACAACAATAACAACTACAATAACAACATCAGTACATCAGCCATTTGAACTGATGTTTCGCTGCCATACAACCATGATGACCTATGAAATAAAGAATAATAAGAGGGAGAGAAGAGGGACTTAACTGAAAACCTTAATGCCCTAAGCAAACATTCAGAGTCAAGACGCCTACACCTTGTGTAGACAACATACTGTCACAAACAGCTGGTTATCGTGCTAGACAGGAATATCGTCAACTTCATTCTCTCATCTCCACTGGAGAACAAGGATAATAATGCCTATGCTGTTGCCAGAAAGTAGTTCGCATCATGATCCAAACCTGGTTTATATCACGACATAGTATAAGTGTGTAATGCACCCTCATATTGCCACACACGCTTTAGTACGAGAAATGCATAAAAGCCTGGACTCACTTCTCATGCAGCGACTGCACTCTAACGAGACGTATGAACCGGTCTCCAAAAATAAATATTTGGAGAATATTCAACATTTTGAAAAATACATGGAACCGCTTGAGAACTCATGATTCCCAAAGAGTTTAAAAGTAGTCGGTCGGCAGATTTTGTGAGCGGCTTTTAACAGGGAAACTTCGCCAAGCCCAGTGAACCAGTGGATGCTTGATGTGATACTTCTACCGTGTGTTGAGAACTGTGGTCGCAGTTTCATGAAGCACCGCACTAAAGCGCGTACACAAGTCTACCTGAGAAATGTCCATGAGTTTGCTAACCATCCAATAGTTTTGTGAGCTCGTCGCTTGGTGAGGGAGCTATCCTGTTCTCTGCAGGGCGGTAACGTGTAAGTCAGCGAATAGTGAGCTGCGCTACATCACATCTAGTAACTTAATTATGATGGTCGTTGCCGTCCCCCGTAGCTCAGTGGTCTCAACCACGGACTGGCAACAGTCGAGTTGCGGGTTCGAGCCCTACCAGGGTCCGATGGAATGCGCACTAGTGACGATTCTCGAAAGGATGAAACGCGCGTACATTGCTCTTCCGGGCGTGTGCCGGATGTCTGAGTGAGTTCTACCCATAGCATTCAACTCCCCCTACTAATCATCTGAAATGAGTTTGCCCTAATCGCGCGCCCTAGCGCTCCTGTGAGCCGTTACTGTAGCTCTACCCCCAACTGTGCATGCATATGGGCAGACCTAAGCTGCTCGACAGCTCGTCGAGGAACGAAGTGAGGCCTAGTAGCCGATAAGGGGGTCGATAGGCTGACAGTCCATGGTAGCGTTGTTGGAGAGAGGTGATGGGCAAGTTTGCGGTGGCCTAGCAGCCCGACTCGTGTCGAGACGATCGATAGGTGGAGAGCGTTTAGTCAGCCTAAGAAGCAAATCAATGCATTCTTACCATTTGGTTATCTGATCACTGTCGCGTCAATGGAGTAGGCCACCCTGGACCTGAGCAATAAATGTTCGATGGGCGCTTATTGCTATCGCAGTTGACGACAAAACACAATAATGGCCAACGCAGTCGTAACCTCAGGACTCGCATTCCAACAAATAATTAGCTTTTCTTATGTTGCTTTTGTTTCAAAAAGAAATCCTGCTGCTTAATACTCTTTCCTTGAAAACCTACGGTGCCCCAACATTTGATGCCACTAGGTAACACTTGCTCATAGTATCCTCTTGTTCGTCTTAGACAATCCTCTCAGCATTCAGTCTGGACCGACGTACCATTGTCATCATTTGCCAGCACACCAATTTAGTCATTTATTCATTCTTTATGAGGCACACAACTATTTCCATAAAATCGGTTTAACGGCCATAAATATCACCAAAGTAGACGTCCAAAATGCCTACCGGAGTTTTGCATGCAATGCAGAAGTCGCCTGATGCTGTTGGCCAGAGCTTTTTCTAATGTCTTCGCTGTGATCGTGCAACATTCGTTCAAAACGCTCTGTTTCAGCTGTTAAAGTGAATTGGGCTTGGATTTGTAAACTCCCCTTTATAAGTAGCCTCATAGGAAGAAATCCAAAGTGTTCATATCCGGTGACCGGGCAAGCCAATCTGTTGATCCTACCATAGTCAAGTTCCCGTGCGGCCGCACTTTAACTCGGCTCTCGCTTTGCCCTCTGTGGCCACTCCAATTCTCCCCACACAATATTGTGTGTGCGATCGTTCGAACCAGTTCGACGAGCTCTACTCAGTGCTTTCCATCTCTTGGATCTAACCTGTGTGGATTATACTCGTGCTCCAGTTCCCAGTTTTCGGCATAATCTTTGCCGAGTTCCACCTGTGTAACTGCATCATACCGGTTTTTCGGAAAAGATGTTGGTCTCAATTGGAAGAAGAAGCTGAGAGCTCCCAAACTACGCGGCAACCATCCCTCCAAGTTGCAACATAACAAAGGTACAGCCTTTTTGCTCCGCTCATCAACTGAGCAGCTCTAGGGACGCTTATCAGCGCTCCGCCTGCATCGTCGCTTAAGGCAGTCCAATTAACACACGCTGCCGCTTCGTGTGGGTGGGTGTGTTTAACTGCGAGTCGATTGATCGCTCAACCCGACAGTTTGCGCGTTACGACCTCCATCTGCCTCTACCGCCTCACCTTGGTGCGGTTGAACAACCTTCAATTCTTGTGCAGGTTCTGACTTGTTTGTGTCACGCCTGGCGCAGAGAACACTCGTCAAGGTGAGCGCTTAGATAGGCCTTGCTGTAAACAGTAAGAGGACGACTAGCATTCTAATGGTTCATTGTGGCCTATGTTTCGCAGACGACTGCAGTAACGTTCTTAAGATCAGTATCACCTGTTCCAGCTGCATTAGATCATACTGTCCGCAATGTGTAGGCAAATCGGTCCCAGAAGTGAGACAGACAAAACATGTTGCTGACACAATTTGGTTTTGCCCAACATGTCAACTCTTTAGAATTGCTCATGAAATGGTGCGATAAGATGACTGAGATAATCGATCCCAAGGAGGTAAGTGTGACCACGATAATACCTCACCCAGCCAAAGTAAGCTCCGAGTCTAAGCCGAAATAGAGAGGTAGAGGCTCCCACAGCACTGCAGCGTCTGTGACTCTAAATCCACTGGGTCACCTCACTCCCATAAGTGGACAAGCATCAAACATGCCTGCTGCCACTTCTCCAGCCATAGACGCTTCACTTGGCGTTCCAGCCATGACACCGACAACTCAGAGCCGAAGGCACTGCAGTGCAGATAACAAGCAGGTAACGTACGCATCGATTGCCTCGACAAACACACCGGGAGCGACTCACATAGGTTCATCTTCAGTACCGAGCACGCGTGGCGCAAAGCAGCTTTCGCCGTCAACTCCAGTGGTGCCTTCTAAACAACCCGAATTTCCGGTAAAAACTATAAAGCCAACGCTCGCTAGACAATACTACGCTGCGTTAACTCTCGGGTGCACCAACGATCCCGAATTAAAATCTGGCACAATAGAAGACAAGTTGTAAGACGATCACGACCAGTGAAGTTCTATCTGCGAGGCGATTGGTATTCGGGTTTAGCCTGCAATGCTGCAACGCGTAGCGCATCATCCGACCTCAGTGCACTATGGTGAACCTCGAATTCTTCGAGTAACACTAAACTCAGCAGACGAGACAGAGGCTGTCCTGCTCTCAGCAGTTCGTCTTCGAAACTCACCGAGCGGAGTGCACATATTACCTGATATACCTTGGAAAGATCGCGCAAAAAAAGCAGTTGAGCAACGCGGGATTCTTAATAGGGATAGCAAGAAAATACTATTTGTTCATGGTGTTTCCGAGCTTCTGCGTTCTTCTGATCAGGATACGCAAACACATGGCCGAGAGCAGTGGTGCTACATCCGCGAAGCACTCTCTGTTGACAATGTTATTGCCAAATCCTTGACAAGAGTTCTGTCATCACCTAACTACAAGGGCTGCGGTCCAAGGATAATGAAAGTAATAAATAAATAAATAAATAAATCTTTTATTCTCAACAAGATGAGGCACGCCTTTATAGGCATGATCATTTTGACATAATGATGCATGATCAAGAATATGCAAA